TAAAAACAGGCCCATACAAAGTAAAAACAGGCCCATGGATAGAGTTAAAAATTCAAATTAAATGACCAAAACAGCCGCCAAAACGGTTTTTATTTTAAAACAAACACATGGGAAACAGAAGCACGCGCCGTTAGTGCCATCAATGTCGCGTCAAACGGTCATTTGCATTAAACACAGATCAGAATGCAAGTCAGAGTAGGTTTTCATCGAAAGAATATAAAGTCTGTTTAAAGTACTTCAATGAATGAACGAAAAACTACGCTCGATAGGAATTCGAATCTCTGCCTGGTAAGCATATTGAGATTGAATTCCTAGGGGGGCATTTGTTGGGATCACTCGAAAACTGTATGACTCGAAAATAATGTTTGAACTTGCTCGAAAAATATCTTATAATGGCGACACCACTTACCTGTAAGGTTTAAGGTCGAAAAATAGAATAGTGCAGATTAAACAAAGACGTACTCGGATAGTGAGATGGTTATGCTAAAAGGTGGTCGAAGAGGAAGAACTCGCGAAAAAACGGTTATGAGAAGTTATCTTTTGAACCTCGCGGAAGAACGGTTATGAGAAGTTATCTTGTGAACCCACGTAGGTAGTGGATAACGGTTATACTCACCCACAACGTTCCTCATGAAACTTATTGTTCATGATTAAACTATATAAATATGAGAGTCGTACGCCTTCACGGAGGTCGGAAAAACTCATACTTGAACTGAATTCTCAAGCACTCTCTGCCTGTACACATGGCTTCCATGCGAGGAATTATCTTTGGGTATGATCACTTCTCGACCACATTTCTTTTCTTGTTCTAGGAGTAGTTGTAGTCTAGGTGTCTTTCTTTATTTTTTCCTAATCACATAGTTGTAGTGCGTTAATTGTAACTCTTGGACAGTATGTAATTTGAACCATGTTTTGTATTGCGAATATATCCATTATTCATTCTGTTCATTTTAGCATTTACGTGCATGCGAATTATTACTTGTTAATTATCGAGGAATATCTAGAAACAAGTAATCACTAAATCTGCCTACTCCATTTTTTGTTCTTAAATTAAATACCTAAATTGAAACCATTTATGTGCTAGTTCAAATATAAAGGGTCCACGAATGAATTTCATCGTAAACAGCTTGGAAAGGAAAAAAAATGGAATAATTGGAAGCAGAGTAGGATGACCCCTTAAACTTGTTCTCTTTAAATTTTTCTTGATTTCTGGAAAAATACAACTTAGAAGGGTGTATTGGATTAGGATTTTAAAGAACTTTTTTAGTTAACCGCTAGAATGCCACGCAAACGCCGACACATTATCTTTTAGAACCCTTACCAACCTCTCTTCGTCCTCGGGAGTTAAAGAGGTACCTATCTTTACGTTTCTCCCTTCCATTACCTCTACTTCCTTGACATCTTCCGC